CTGTGTAATCATTTATATAACGTATAATTGTGATCTTACGCAGAGGTAATTTATACGCACTTAATCTGCAATTCTTCTATGTAATTAATGACAGTTGCAGTACGTGATCATATTTTTTGGTGTAAATATTTAATGTTGAAAATGTTTTACACGCGTCTGTTTTTGTTTACAGATATTTATTTTTTAGGTGTTTTGTTACGTGTGTTTGTAAATTATAATTATAATTGAGATTGATTTTTGTTTTACTATTTTTTTTACATTTTTGAAGTTATTTTACTCAATTATTTTCACACATTTCTTGATAGATGATTATTGTGCGTAATTATAATACATATTAATTACTTATATAATTATTTTACACAATTATGATATAGACATTTACTTACAATTATTCATAGAAGAATTTTACATTGAGTTAAGGTGAATTGAAACTCAGCTGACTCACATAACAACTGACTCACATAACAGCCGAGTCACATAACAGATGACTCACATAACAGCTGATTCACATAATAACTGACTCACATAATAGCTGACTCACATAACAGATGACTCACATAACAGCTGACTCACATAACAGATGATTCACATAATAACTGACTCACATAACAGATGACTCACATAACAGCTGACTCACATAACAGATGATTCACATGACTCAACTTTTGACTTACATGCATCATAACATCGTCAAGTAATTCATTTGATTGCCTAACAACCAATTCAGAAGGGGGTAATTACAACCCTGTAATGATGACGTATGCAAATGATGTCACCTGTTACTTCCTGGGGAGGAGGGAGGGTGAAGGGATGTGGGGAGGAGGAGGGTGGAGGGAGGGAGGGGGAGGTGAGAAGGGATGTGGGGAGGGAGGGAGGAGTGAAGGGGAAGGAAAGGTGGGGAGAACGGAGAGTACGATAAACCCCTGAGCACGATACCAACCCCAGGTACGATACTAACCCCTTGAGTACGATACTAACCCCTTGAGTACGATACCAATCCCTTGAGTACTATACCAACCCCTTGAGTACGATACTAACCCGTTAAGTACGATACCAACCCCTTGAGTACGATACCCCCCCTTGAGTACGATACCAACGAGTACGATACGATACCAACACCTTGAGTACGATACCAACACCTTGAGTACGATACCAACCCCTTGAGTACGATGGTTTAATTCTTTCAGTTAAATATCATAGACTTGCTAATCTCTCTCTCTCTCTCTCATTACCAGTCTCTCACCTCCCATTCTATCCCATGTCCAAACCTTCCCCATGTCCAAATCCTCCCCACGTGTCCACACTTATTATCCTTATACCTGATGTGGGTAATGATGGGAATCCGGATATGGGTAATAACCGCTCATTTTACCCATGTCCAGGCTCTTATGTCCGGTTATGGACGATGGAATATTCGGAACACCTGCATATTAGACACCCTGGCTTATTTCACCTGAAGATTAGACACCCTGGCTTATTTCACCTGAAGATTAGACACCCTGGCTTATTTCACCTGCAGATTAGACACCCTGGCTTATTTCACCTGAAGATTAGACACCCTGGCTTATTTCACCTGAAGATTAGACACCCTGGCTTATTTCACCTGCAGATTAGACACCCTGGCTTATTTCACCTGCAGATTAGACACCCTGGCTTATTTCACCTGCAGATTAGACACCCTGGCTTATTTCACCTGAAGATTAGACACCCTAGCGCCACCTGGGGGAGTTAGGTTAGAGAAGGGGGATTAATTTTAGCGAAAGTGTTAAGAAGATGAATTGATTTTCGCGAAATTATTAGATGTTTTAAAAGTATTCTAACTAGCGGGAAATTATTATAACCTAACCTAACCTAACTTCCCTCCCCAGTATTAGGGTGTTTAATCATCAGGTGAGATAAACTGAAGGGGGGGTCTAATCTTCAGGTGATTATTTTAAAGGATTTGAAACATTAAATCGGATTGAGTCGTCTTGTTAGCCAGGTTGTCGAGCGTGTGTGTGTGTGTGTGTGCGTGTGTGTGTGTGTATGTGCGTGTGTGTGTGTGTATGTGCGTGTGTGTGCGTGTGTGTGTGTGTGTGTGTTTAAGGTATAACTCGAGAAGAGAAAATAAACTACAGTGTTCATTGTTGTTCATTATTAGAGGTGCAACAACGTGTCTGGTTAAGAACATAAAGAACTTGGTGAACAATTTCCTTGATGGTGGTTTGTTATATCGAAAGGTTAGGGGTTAATTCATGAACAGAAATGATTATAGTGTTCGTGTGTGTTCATATTACATATATAACTACACTCCAGGTAAGAACAAAAGGTTATGAACATTTTACTTGAGGAAGATCAGTGTTGTGTGCACCTTCCGTTCCGACTGTGTATGTTTGTATTACAACTGAACAACAGACAACGGTATAATGTTCATACTTGTTCATATTGAAATCATGTTCACGTTAATGTCAAGAACAACAAGGAAGTGAGGATGTGTGCCCGGGATGAACAGTTATGAGGAAATATCAGCAGTAAAGTGAGAGGTGTACTTGTGTACAGTGGAACCTAACCTAACCTAACTTAACCGAATCGAACATAACTTAGCCCAATCTAACCAACGCTGACTTAACCTAATTCAACCTAACCCACCCCAACCAAACTTAATTTAACCCAACCCACCCTGCTTCAGGACTACACACACACACACACACATACACACTGTTACGCCGTCTCTTAATTTACTTAAATATCCAGGTTCTAGGCGTAACCAAACAAAAGTGAAGTAAATTAAAAGAATAAAAATAAATAAAGTAAACCTTTAAGAATTTAATTGATTAAATATTAACACAATAAAGAGCCTCGTAGGCTGTCACAACAAATTGATTCACCATCGAAACTTTTAAGACGTAAGTGATACAAAACATCGAAACATCAAAAGAATAAAAATAAAGCATTGGATTACGTTAACACTGCATAAACATAAAAACTATCACTGAAATTAACTAACGTGAAACAACACTGAATTACTTGAATACAACTAAGCAAATACTGATGGACACAAACAGAGACATAAATAGGTACTCACATAGATACACCACATTGGTGGCGACAGGAACAACACAAATAAATTAAGTATAAGTAACAAGTGACACTCAAAGGATGTGGACTGTATGACAAGAGGACTGAACTAACTCAAGTCAGTTGGTGGGTCCTATATATAAGGTCGGTTCCCGCCACTCGACCCGCCGGTGGGTCGTTTAACGATGCAGATGGTCGTTAGAGAACAAAGAATGCTGGTTACAATACAAAATAAAGAAATAAGATGGGCTTGAACAAATAATGACAGTTAAAACCTTAACAGCACAGGGTAAGGTGACTAGAATATATAATAGTAAATTTAACACATCATTACAGGAATAATATGGAACATGGGAGCATGTTATATATAAAAAATAGAAAAATACGACACGGTCGTAACAACACATAAAATATAATGGTTACCCCTCGTGTAACGAGAATGGCCGGCCCAAGGGCCACCTAAGCGTGAATTTGTTTAAGGTGTAGAAGCTGTCGCCAACACAACTACCACACCCTAAGTTAACGAGCTGCATGACCCAGTGTCAAGGAATAGTCCGAGAAGACTGGACAACTCCCCAACTGCACTGGCTAACCCTGGAACACAATCCGCAAGTCGATTAACATCCAGGTTCCCAATTACTGCTGGGTAGACAGAGGCAAATGGCGTAAAGAAACTTGCCCATAGTTTCACCATACCCGGGGATCGAACCCGAGTCCGTTCGCTTGCGAGGCGAGCATGCTGACCATTACACCACAAGTCGCCATCACACACTTACCGAGGCCAACACAATACTACGTTAGTCTGAGAGTAGTGACATGACGCCTTAGTACCCAGAATCCATCCATCCATCTGTCTGTCTGTCTCTCCCTTTTGTTATCCGTGTCTCCTGGATTGAGAGAGGGAGAGAGAGAGAGAAACCAACCTTACAATGATATATTCTCCTCCCTACCTACCTATATCAATTTACCTGTGTTAATAAACTCAACTATATCAAAAATGACTCGTCAATTATCTCTCCTGGGCGCTGATGACTCCTATAATAACAATATACCCCGAAACATAAGACACTATAATGTGACCCGGAAGCATATAACGCGCACACCATCACATTATATCAAGAGTTACAACGGCGTGATGATGAGCCGAGTCGAGTTGGTGTTTTCGTTCGTGGGGATGTATGCGGATTATGAAGGCGGATTTATCGATGGGGAACGCTTAACTTTAGGGGTCGTTGATGTAAAATAATAAATGATGTAAGAAAAGAATTATATTGAAGAGATTAAAACAGAGACATAACGAAAAAAAAAAAGTGTAAATAGTGAATAAAGGAGGAAATGAAGAATAATGAAGAAAATTTGGTTACATGATATATTTTACATAATCTTCATATAGAGAGAGAGACTACACAAATATGTTTTATAATCTATTCCTGTACAATTTTTTTTTTCGGAGGGGGAATAAATTTGTAGATTTATTTAGAATTTTATGATGAAGATTATAGTAGAGTTTAAGGTCTGTTAGTGTATTAGAAAATGATTATTAAATTCCCTTTGTTAAATTGTGTTGTGGATTGGGATTAGTGTTGTTGTTGTTATTGTTATTATTATTATTGTTGTTATTATTGTTTTTTATAATTATTAGTGTTTATTTGTTTATCTTGTTTGCTGTTTCTCATCTGTCTATTTATCTTCTCTCTCTCTCTCTCTCTCTCTCTCTCTCTCTCTCTCTCTCTCTCTCTCTCTCTCTTTCTTACTATATTTATTTTGTCTTTGTCTATTTCTTCTCTCTTTCCCTCTTTGTGTCTCTCCACCTATCGTTCCTTTATCTTTGTCTGTGTTTATTTCCTTTATAATTTCTCTCTCTCTCTCTCTCTCTCTCTCTCTCTCTCTCTCTCTCTCTCTGCTGGCATAACGTTAACAGGGTGTTGTCTTGGTGTCCGCAGGTAGCCGCGACATGTACAGTCCCGCAAGGCCGTTGGTCTTCAATCCCCAGACCGCGGTGGTGTCTGCCGCAAGCGGAGGAGCGCCTATGGAAGGTATCAGATACCCGCCGCCGACCGCAGCCGCTGCCGCAGTCGCAGCCCGACATTACGACATAGCCCAGCAAGTCTTCTCTCAACACACGGCTGCCATGGCCAAGCTTCTCGGTAAGATAGATAGATAGATAGATAGATAGATAGATAGATTCAATATATAGTACACAGACAATACAGGTACACACACAATATACACACACAATACAGGTACACACAATATACACACACAATACAGGTACACACACAATATACACACACAATACAGGTACACACAATATACACACACAATACAGGTACACACACAATATACACACACAATACAGGTACACACACAATATACACACACAATACAGGTACACACACAATATACACACACAATACAGACAATACAGGTACACACACAATATACACAGACAGTATATAGAAAAGGGTTACATTATAGATATGTACGGGTTAAATTATAGGTCTTTTAAGGGTTGAATTATACGTATCAAAGGATTGAGTTATAGATACTAAGGGCTAAACCATGAATCTCAAAGGGTTAAACCATCGTTCCCAGTCTTAAACCATAAGTCTTAAACACTCGAAACATTTAATTTTTAACATTTCCATTACATAAAGTTAAACAAACAAAAACAATCAAAATAAAACACAGAAGACCCAAATAAAACAAAATAAAACACAGACCCAAATAAAACAAAATAAAGCAAAACAAAACAGTAAAACAAAACAAAACAGAAAAAACAAAAGCTCTCATATCCCGTGTAAACATGATAGGTGGCTCCTTAGCACCATTCTGAAGCATCTACAGGAGAAATAACAACACATTCTCGTTCTCACCTTCTGCAGGAACGATTCGGCCGCCTGGGATGATCGGGGGGTCTAAGCCGAAGGTGGCGACGCCGCAGGTGGTGAACAAGATCGAGCAGTACAAGAGAGAGAACCCGACCATCTTCGCCTGGGAGATCCGGGAGAAGTTGATCTCTGAGAGCGTGTGTACCAACTCTACCGCGCCCTCCGTGTCCTCCATCAACAGGATCCTTAGGTAGGTGTCCTCTGTGTGTGTGTGTATGTGTGTGTGTGTGTGTCTGTGTATGTGTAAATAAAAAACAACAACAATGTGACACAGGAATGAAGTATAAGCATTACGTAGTACCATCATCCCCCTCACGCGGACGTCAGTTTCAGTCAAATTAGAGTCTCTTATATCAAATCACCATCTGTAAATTCTATTAGCTTAATAACATTAACCCTCCGAGTTATAATAAATTCGTAGATCTATTAATTTTAACATAAGAAAATACAATATCAAGATAAACATTAACAAATATATTAACTCTAACCTCAACAATAAAATACAATGTTAAAGTAAACCCGGGAATTTACTCAATATGGCCGCTAATGCTGGAGAGTTAAGTGAGCATTCATATATTAACAAAATTAAAATATAAATAATCTAAATAAATATACTGTGTCCTGTGTTACGTTACGCTGACTGTCATGTGTCATAATTAAGTCATGAGGCGTGGCAAGTGTTATTTACCTGTTGCGAGTGTTATGTGAGGGGAGTCACCTACTGTACTATGTGTTACGGTGGGGTGCTGTGCCTGCTTTATAGAGTGTTACGTCTCCTGTGTTGCGTGTTGTGTTGTGTGGGTGTTAGTGTTGTGTTTTGCGTTGTGTGTTAGTGTTGTTTTGTGTTGGTGTTAGTGTTGTGTTGTATTATATTGTGTTGTGTTGTGTGGGTGTTAGTGCTGTGTTTTGTGGGTGTTGTGTTGTATTGTGTTGGGTGTTTGTGTTGTGTTGTGTTGTGTGGGTGTTAGTGTTATATTGTGTAGGTGTTATCAAGCTTTTGGCAGACTCCGTACCCATGTCTTCAGCTGTAGGGAGCTGAAATTATCTACAAAGTTGCACGTATATCGAGCAGTGTTCCTCCCCACCTTGCTGTATGGCAGTGAGACATAGGTCACATACAGGAGGCACCTCAAGGCACTTGGGAAGACAAGAGAACAAATGCCAGTATTCTTGCTGACACCAACTGTAGGAGCATCGAGGCTACCATTATCTATGAACAACCACGCTGCACTGGCCATGTTACCCACATGCACGACAGTAGACTGCCAAAGCAGCTACTTTACAGTCACCTAAAGAATAGTAAACGCAACGCTGGCGGGCAACTGAAAAGGTATAAGGATAGTCTTAAGACAAACCTGAAAAAGTGCCAAAGCCACCACCTCACCTGGGAGACGATTACTCCGCACCGCAATGCTTGGAGGAGCACCACAAGAGAAGGTGTCAATACTTTCGAGTTAGCCCGACTGCAAACCGAGGCAGACAAGCGCCAGTGCCGGAAAGACGCTACAGCCGCCCCTCCCGCACTAGATGTAGTCCTCCACATTAGCAACATCTGTGGACGACCCTGCGGGTCCCGTATCGGCCTCTCTAGTCACCAACCTAGGTGACATCCCTAATAACTCACATCATTGTGTCATAGCTGGATGATCGTCATACTCGATTCTGAGTGACAGCAAAGTAGTAATAGCAGTCGTGTTGTGCTGTGTTATGTTGGTATTAGTGTTGTGCTGTGTTAGGTGGGTGTTAGTGTTGTGTTGTGTTATGTTGTGTTAGGTGGGTGTTAGTGTTGTGTTGTTGTGTTATGTGGGTGTTAGTGTTGTGTTGTGTTATGTGGGTGTTAGTTTTGTGTTATGTGGGTGTTAGTGTTGTGTTGTGCTGTGTTAGGTGGGTGTTAGTGTTGTGTTGTGTTATGTTGTGTTAGGTGGGTGTTAGTGTTGTGTTGTTGTGTTATGTGGGTGTTAGTGTTGTGTTGTGTTATGTGGGTGTTAGTTTTGTGTTATGTGGGTGTTAGTGTTGTGTTGTGCTGTGTTAGGTGGGTGTTAGTGTTGTGTTGTGTTATGTTGTGTTAGGTGGGTGTTAGTGTTGTGTTGTTGTGTTATGTGGGTGTTAGTGTTGTGTTGTGTTATGTGGGTGTTAGTTTTGTGTTATGTGGGTGTTAGTGTTGTGTTGTTGTGTTATGAGTGTTAGTGTTGTGTTGTGTTATGGGTGTAAGTGTTGTGTTGTATGTGGGTGTTAGTGTTGTGTTGTGTTATGTGGGTGTTAGTGTTGTGTTGTGTAGATTGTTAGTGTTGTGTTGTGTTATGGGTGTTAGTGTTGTGTTGTGTTATGTGGGTTTGGTGTTGTGTTGTGTATGTGGAGTGTAAGGTGTTGTGTTGTGTTATGTGGGTGTTAGTGTTGTGTTGTGTTATGTGGGTGTTAGTGTTGTGTTGTGTTATGGGTGTTAGTGTTGTGTTGTTGTATGTGGTGTTAGTGTTGTGTTGTGTTATGTGGTGTTAGTGTTGTGTTGTTATGTGGGTGTTAGTGTTGTGTTGTGGTATGTGGGTGTTAGTGTTGTGTTGTTGTGTTATGTGGGTGTTAGTGTTGTTGTGTTATGTAGGTGTTAGTGTTGTGTTGTGTTATGTGGGTGTTAGTGTTGTGTTGTGTTGTAGGTGTTAGTGTTGTGTTGTGTTGAGGTGTTAGTGTTGTGTTGTGTTATGTAGGTGTTAGTGTTGTGTTGTGTTATGTGGGTGTTAGTGTTGTGTTGTGTTATGTGGGTGTTAGTGTTGTGTTGTGTTATGTGGGTGTTAGTGTTGTGTTGTGTTATGTGGGTGTTAGTGTTGTGTTGTGTTATGTGGGTGTTAGTGTTGTGTTGTGTTGTGGGTGTTAGTGTTGTGTTGTTGTGTTATGTGGGTGTTAGTGTTGTGTTGTGTTATGTGGGTGTTAGTGTTGTGTTGTGTTATGTGGGTGTTAGTGTTGTGTTGTTTGTGTTATGGGTGTTAGTGTTGTGTTGTATGGGGTTGTTAGTGTTGTGTTGTTGTGTTATGTGGGTGTTAGTGTTGTGTTGTGTTATGTTATGTGGGTGTTAGTGTTGTGTTGTGTTATGTAGGTGTTAGTGTTGTGTTGTGTTATGTGGGTGTTAGTGTTGTGTTGTGTTATGTGGGTTAGTGTTGTGTTGTGTTATGTAGTTAGTGTTGTGTTTGTGTTATGGTGTTAGTGTTGTGTTGTTATGTAGGTGTTAGTGTTGTGTTATGTGGGTGTAGTGTTGTGTTGTGTTATGTAGGTGTTAGTGTTGTGTTGTGTTATGTAGGTGTTAGTGTTGTGTTGTGTGTTATGTAGGTGTTAGTGTTGTGTTGTGTTATGTAGGTGTTAGTGCTGTGTTGTGTGGTATGTAGGTGTTAGTGTTGTATTATGTAGGTGTTAGTGTTGTGTTGTGTTATGTAGGTGTTAGTGTTGTGTTGTGTTATGTAGGTGTTAGTGTTGTATTATGTAGGTGTTGGTGTTGTGTTGTGTTATGTAGGTGTTAGTGTTGTGTTGTGTGTTATGTAGGTGTTAGTGTTGTGTTATGTAGGTGTTAGTGTTGTGTATGTAGGTGTTAGTGTTGTGTTGTGTTATGTAGGTGTTAGTGTTGTGTTGTGGTATGCAGGTGTTAGTGTTTATGTAGGTGTTAGTGTTGTGTTGTGTTATGTAGGTGTTAGTGTTGTGTTGTGTTATGTAGGTGTTAGTGCTGTGTTGTGGTATGTAGGTGTTAGTGTTGTGTTATGGTGAGTGTTGTGTTGTGTGGGTGTTTTGTTGTGTTGTGTTATGTGGGTGTTAGTGTTGTGTGTTATGGGTGTTAGTGTTGTGTTATGTAGATGTTAATGTTGTGGTATGTTGGTGTTATTGTTGTGTTATGTGGGTGTTAGTGTTGTGTTATGTAGATGTTAATGTTGTGGTATGTTGGTGTTATTGTTGTGTTATGTAGGGTGTTAATGTTGTGCTATGTAGATGTTAATGTTGTGGTATGTTGGTTTATTGTTGTGTTATGTAGGTGTTAGTGTTGTGTTATGGGTGTTAGTGTTGTGTTATGTAGATGTTAATGTTGTGGTATGTTGGTGTTATTGTTGTGTTATGTGGTGTTAGTGTTGTGTTATGTAGATGTTATGTGTGGTATGTTGGTGTTATTGTTGTGTTATGTGGGTGTTAGTGTTGTGTTATGTAGATGTTAATGTTGTGGTATGTTGGTGTTATTGTTGTGTTATGTGGGTGTTAGTGTTGTGCTATGTAGGTGTATGTTGTGGTATGTTGGTGTTATTGTTGTGTTATGTGGGTGTTAATGTTGTGCTATGTAGGTGTTAGTGTTGTAGTATGTTGGTGTTATTGTTGTGTTGTGTGGGTGTTAGTGTTATGTTGTGTTGTATGAGCTGGTTCATGTCTTTACAGTAAATGGTAAATTATAATGTTTCTCTTTGTTGGTGTAGCTGCCACAGTCTATGTGCTATAACATAACAACATAACATAACAACATAACATAACATGACAACATAACATAACATAACAACATAACATAACATAACATAACATAACATAACATAACAACATAACATAACATAACAACATAACATAACATAACAACATAACATAACATGACAACATAACATAACATGACAACATAACATAACATAACAACATAACATAACATAACAACATAACATAACATAACAACATAACATAACATAACAACATAACATAACATAACAACATAACATAACTTAACATAACATAACATAACAACATAACATAACATAACAACATAACATAACATAACAACATAACATAACATAACATAACATAATATAACAATATAACATAACATAACAATATAAATAACAATATAATATAAATATAACAAAATAACATAACATGACAACATAACATAACTTAACAACATAACATAACATAACAAATATAACATAAATATACCAATATACATAATAACATAACATAATATAATAAATATAACATAACATAACATAACATAACATAACATAACATATCATATCATACCATAGCATAACATAACATAACATAACATAACATAACATAACATAACATAACATAACATAACATAACATAACATAACATATCATATCATATCATACCATAGCATAACATAACATAACATAACATAACATAACATAACATAACATAACATAACATATCATATCATATCATACCATAACATAACATAACATAACATAACATAACATAACATAACATAACATAACATAACATAATATAACATAACATAACATAATATAACATAACATAACATAGCATAACATAGCATAACATAACATAACATAACATAACATAACATAACATAACTTAATATAACATAACATAACATAACATAACATAACTTAACATAATATAACATAACATAACATAACATAACATAACATAACATAACATAACATAACATAACACAACATAACATAACATAACATAACATAACATAACATAACTTAATATAACATAACATAACATAACATAACATAACATAACATAACTTAATATAACATAACATAACATAACATAACATAACATAACAACATAACATAACTTAACATAACATAACATAACATAACATAACATAACTTAACTTAACATAACATAACATAACATAACATAACATAACTTAACATAACATAACATAACAACATAACATAACATAACAACATAACATAACTTAACATAACATAACTTAACATAACATAACATAACAACATAACATAACATAACAACATAACATAACTTAACATAACATAACATAACTTAACATAACATAACATAACATAACATAACATAACATAACTTAACATAACATAACATAACATAACTTAACATAACATAACATAACATAACATAACATAACATAACATAACATAACATAACATAACATAACATAACATAACTTAACATAACATAACATAACATAACATAACATAACTTAACTTAACATTGATGACCACTACAGCAGAATAGACAGTCACATAATCTGCCTCACACACCTGTCATTAACCTCGACCTCTGCCTCCCTCAGGAACAGGGCAGCAGAACGAGCAGCGGCAGACTTCGCTCGGGCTGCGGGTTACGGTCTCTACAGCCCGTACGCCGCCGCGGGAGCCATGCCTTGGTCAAATCCCGCAGCCGCCGCCGCCGCAGCTGCAGCCGCGTCTTCACCCATCTGGGGAGGCGCCCCTCACGCCGCCCTTCCCGCCGCCTATACCTCCTCAGCCGCCGCCCACGCCGCCCTCGGCCTCCACCACGTCCATGCTGACAAACTTAACCTGTCGATGACGCCCCAGCCCCACCACGACCACAGACCAGGTACTGTGTCCTTTGTTACTGTCACCTAACCTAACCTAACCTAACCTAACCTAATCTAATCTAACCAAACCTAACCTGAATATGCTACTTAACCTACCCCTAACTTAAGTTTATCTAACCTACTTTTATCTCAACCAAGTCCTAACTTACCCTTATTAATCTAACTAAACCTGACCTAACCTGCTTCCAGCTAAAATGCCCGTCTATTCATCTATGATCTAATCTAACCAGCCCCTAATCTAACCGAACATAACTTACTCTTAAGCTAACCTAACCTAACCTAATCCCTAATAAAATTTTAATTAACCAGGGGGCAAGATCATAGTATAAAAATATAAGTCATTCGATTAGTTTGTTTTAGGTCAACTGAAGCTTATCCCAGCAGCTTACTACACCTGATGATTACACACCTTAACTCTACCTGGGGGTTAGGTAAGGTTAGGGTTAGGTTAGGTTAGGCTAGAATAGGTTAGGTTAGGTTAGGTTAGGTTAGGGTTAGGTAAGGGTTAGGTTAGGTTAGGTTAGTATAAAGTGATTATCCTTAAGGTGACATAAGATGGGGGATAATCTTCAGGTGATCGTTTGTTTGTTATTTAATTAAGAGTTTTGTGACGCTGATCATGTATCGTGTAATAACTAATGCATCTCCTCTCTGGTGGTGCTACAGAGGACCTGGAGTGTGGGGAGTCGAGGGGTGAAGGCTCCAGCAGCGACTGTGGTGAGGACCGGCCGCCCACCGCCTCCTCCGCCCCGCCCACACCCGCTTCACCTACATCCTCCTCAACGCCCACGCCCACCAGTAAAAGCAAGATTAGCTTTAGCGTTGAGTCCCGTCTCTTGGCTACTCCGCCGCCCACCTCCACCCATCAGGGCCACAATACCAACAGCCCGGCACAACCCACGCCCACCAACCCCGCCCTAGGTACTGCCGCGCATGAGATGGGTCCTCTAGTAGCGCGAGCGGTTCCCGGTTGGCGTTATCCTCGCTACCACCCCTGGCTCCACAACCTCACACGGTAGAGGCAGGCGGGCTGACCACTGTACTGTATTAACATCTGTCTCAACCATCCCTCACCTCACATACAGAGTCACACCAAATGCCATTTTACGCTGCAACCAAACCTTTACCATCATTACGGTTTACCTTACAACGAGCATCACCACTACCATAACCATCCCCACCACCACCATCCTCACAACCATTATAACCATCGACCATTACCATCATCACCACAACCACCACCACCATCACCACCACCATCATCACTACCATCATCACAACCATTATAACCATCGACCATTACCACCATCACCACCACAACCACCACCATCACCACCACCATCATCACTACCATCATCACAACCATTATAACCATCGACCATTACCACCACAACCACCGCTACCACCACCATCACCACAGCTATACCACAACAGGAGTTCATCACCACACTAATAAGCTAGTGACAGAAGGCGTCCCATCTGAGGGTCTTAGAGAGAGACAAGTCGACAAACAGAGAGACAGAGAGAATACAAACTAGAAGGAGAAGGGAGAGGGAGAGAAAGGGAGATAAAACTAGATCAAACAGACAGACAGAGAGAAAACATCTAGGAGAACCGACAGAGACAGAGAGAGAGAACCTACTAGGAGAACCGACAGAGACAGCTAGAGAGAGAACCTACTAGGAGAACGGACAGAGACATAGAGAGAGAACCTACTAGGAGAACGGACAGAGACAGCTAGAGAAAACAACTAGGAGAACGGACAGAGACAGAGAGAGAGAACCTACTAGGAGAACGGACAGAGACATAGAGAGAGAACCTACTAGGAGAACGGACAGAGACAGAGAGAGAGAACCTACTAGGAGAACGGACAGAGACAGAGAGAGAGAATCTACTAGGAGAACGGAGAGAGACAGCTAGAGAAAACAACTAGGAGAAAGAACAGAGAGACAGGAAGAGAAACCAACTAGGAAAACAGACACAGAGAACTAACACAGGAAAAGGAGGGGAAGGGGCAGGGGGTTAAAATGACATCCCCCCTTCACCCACTTTCCTCCCCTATGTGAGAGAGAGAGGTTCAGCCCCCCACCCCCCTTGCCCCATGTGGTTTACTCGGACACAACGCCAAAGGGATTTATCTCACGCGACATCTTGACAGGAACGAGAGATGCTGTGGTTACGCCAGGGGGTCTGATCTTAGATACAGACAGTAGTAGACGACAGCAGGTTGATAGATATAAGCAGACGATATGCAACAGCAGATGACAGATAGCAGCAGAAGGTAGAAAGCAGCAGACGGTAGACCATGAGCTGTAGGGAGAGAGGAGAGTTCTGAGATATTTACAGACACAAACATGATCTCCCATTCCTTGAACCACAAGAGAGAGACACACACACACATCCACTACACCATCACGGAAAGACAAATGTGTGTTGACCCTGGTTACGGTATTTAAGGTCTCAATCAACAATAACACAACAGCCCCCCCCCCCCGCCTGCCCGCCACCATATCCTGTCACCGCCGCTTTCAACACTCCCGCCTCCTTGTGTGGTGTCAACAAATCATACGACATCAGAATATCCACATCAACTGATAACACACACAACATCCATTACCTACACCAAGGTATGAGAGTAATGCCGCAGCCCGCAAGCCAACACTAGTGTCAGATTGTCGGATACCAGCCATACATAATGAAGAGATGCGGTCGTGATAGTCAACTCCTGCCTCCTGATTGGTGGACAGGGGGTGAGGTGGGCGGGGCTAGACATATATGGCCCGCCTCCCTGACTGGCTCCAGACGGAAAAATAATTGAAAATATTACGGAACATTGCATACAAGACGACTATTTGTTGTTATATCTGTAGTCTCATCGGGATAAGAAAGTAACAATGTTGATTTTTTTTATCCGCCCGGATGTGTAATGTTGTGGTGATGATGTTGTGGGTTGACGGGTTTGGTGTAATGGTTGTGAGGGGGATGTTTGTGATGGTTGTGAGGTGGTACAACATCATTATGAGGTTGTACATCATGGCTAAAAGGTTGTAGACCATAGTTGAGGTTGTAAAAGATGGTTGTGAGGTTGTAGACCATGGTTAAAATAGTGCGCATTATGGTTATGATTTGTTGTACACAGTGATTGTGAGAGTGTACAGTGTATGTTATGATCACGAGGTAGTACAATATGGTTGAGAGGTTGTACATCATAGTAGAGATTGTACACTTTGGTTGAAAGGTTGTACACTATGGTTGAGAGGTTGTACACCATGATTACGAGGTAGTACACTATGGTTGAGAAGTAGAACACTATGGATGAAAGGTTGTACACCATAATAAGAATTGTACACCATGGTTGAGAGGTTGTACACTATGGTTAAGAGGTTGTACACTATGGTTGAGAGGTTGTACACTATGGTTAAGAAGTTGTACACTATGGTTAAGAGGTTGTGCACTATGGTTGAGAGGTTGTACATCATAGTAGAGATTGTACACTATGGTTGAGAGGTTGTACACTATGGTTGAGAGGTTGTACACTATGGTTGAGAGGTTGTACGCCATGGTTACGAAGTTGTACATTATGGTTGTGAGTCTCGGCATCATGGTTAAATCTCTGAGGCTTCACCACCGCCAGGGCTGAAGTCTCATAAGAGAAAACAAAACAAAGCAATTCTACTTACATGAACTCTGGTAATTATTAATGATCCGTCCACTATTATTTATGAAACTTTATGAAACTTTATGTGTCATGGTGCGTCATGAAACTGTACTGAAGTGAAGACAACTGAAACGTCCTGAATTCAAGTGTTTCGGGACAAAGTTTTGAAACGTGATCTAAATATTGTTTTGAAAGTGTGAAGATCCGAAACTATCTCGAATATTTGCTTCGAGATAATGAAACAGGTGAATTTTTTTTTAAATTATATCAAGAAAATTAAAACAGATGTGAAACAGTTTAGAATCAATGTTTTTTGTGTGTTTCTGGTAAAGTTTGAGAAGACGAAAATATGAGTGCCAAAAAAAATTACCACAGTGACATACATAATAAAAATGACAAAATTACTACAAAATCTTGGAAATAGAAAAACAACCACAGAAATTCACTTTTAATAAGTAATTTAACACAATCGAAGGAACATATAAGTATTCAACAGACCATCTCTTACTTGACGTCTATTCAAGTCACTAGTGAATAAGCTGAAAAGTAATGACCAATTTTTTTATAAGTAACTAAAATATAACTCATAACTTGATTATAAAAGTACATTAATGTTTATCATGACGGCTCACACACGCACACCGATGATAACGTATAGGTTGTAAGTTTGTAAATAAATAAAAAAATCCCCCGTAAATGATGTAAGTAATACGTGTAAATAAGAAGTGTGCCAATCATAACATTATTGTTCACACACAAACATTATCTAAAATACAGTGTAAAAAAAATATTGTCTTTGTTTTTTGTTTGACCTTATTTTGTTGTTGTTTATTTTAGTTAAGTGGAGATGTATATAGGTAATGTTTTGAGGTGAAGGAAGGAAGGAAGTGGGAAGGAGATAGTAAGGAAGGGAAGAAGGAAGGAAGTAGGGAGGAAAAAGTTGATAGAAAGAGTACATGGATATATGGAAATCCAGAGAGGAAAGGGAAGAACCCAAGATGGTAAAGGGGGAGGGAAAGAGATGGAAAAAAAGGAAAAAAGTACAAATCCAATAATCAACATCAACACGGAAATATTTGGATAGAAAAAAAAAGTCAAAATAAAAAATAAATAAACCATTGAGATAAAATTTAAGCCAATGGCACAAAATTTAAACCAATGAAAAAATATAAACCGACATAAAATTTACACCATTGGCAAAATTTAAACCAGTGTCATAAACTGTACAGATCTCAAAACATACAAATACTAAAACACTAAATTGAAATACAGGTAAAATATGACTTTGTATATACGAAAATACAGTAATACACCTTTTTGCACTTTACTCCCACGGAAATTCATAATATATACACAATATTTTGCATTATACCACTACGTCATAACCTTTAACATCATTTCATTATAAATCAATATTCCATCAGGTTACTTAGACAGACTTACGGATATTACCTGGATAGATCACCACAATACACAGTCAGCCGTAGGTATGAATAACCGGGTGTCATACGGTATTCGAACCCATGAAGCTCTCAAGGAGTCTTCTTGCAGCACGATATTCCGTTTTCAATAATGTTACCATAATATTACCAGTTATTTATAATTGCCCTACTGACTCACATATTTGTACAGACGCTCTTTGTCTAGCTGCTATGAAGTGTGTCCAGTATTGTTTCAATGATATTTCTTTTTCTGAAACTGATTCGAATGATAATTGTTTCGAGTTTTGAACTGTTCAAACTAAAGTGACAAGTTGTGGAAGTAAAGCGCAAGAAAGGAGGTATTGGAAGGTACTACACGTATACACATAAATTATACATAATATAAAAAATCTACGAAGACATAGATCCCAAAATATATTACATGAATATAAAGATAAATAATTATGACTTTACCTGAATATAATTTAGTAATGGATGGCAATAAATAGATAAAATGGTCATAAATGGAATTGAATGGATATAAACGGGAGGTGGGCGGGGTGTAGTGTCGTCAGGAGCGGTGGGCGGGGTCTAGTGTCGTCAGGAGCGGTGGGCGGGGTCTAGTGTCGTCAGGAGCGGTGGGCGGGGTCTAGTGTCGTTAGGAGCGGTGGGCGGGGTGTAGTGTCGTCAGGAGCGGTGGGCGGGGTCTAGTGTCGTTAGAGCGGTGGGCGGGGTTGTAGTGTAGTCAGGGCGGTGGGCGGGTTGTAGTGTAGTCAGGAGCGGTGGGCGGGGGTTGTAGTCAGGAGCGGTGGGCGGGGGTTGTAGTGTAGTCAGAAGCGGTGGGCAGGGGTGTAGTGTCGTCAGGAGCGGTGGGCGGGGTCTAGTGTCGTCAGGAGCGGTGGGCGGGGTCGAGTGTCGTTAGGAGCGGTGGGCGGGGGTTGTAGTGTAGTCAGGAGCGGTGGGCGGGGTTGTAGTGTAGTCAGGAGCGGTGGGCGGGGGTTGTAGTGTTGTCAGGAGCAGTGGGCAGGGTGTAGTGTTGTCAGGAGCGGTGGGCGGGGTTTGTAGTGTAGTCAGGGCGGTGGGCGGGGCGTAGTGTTGTCAGGAGCGGTGGGCGGGGGTGTAGTGTTGTCAGGAGCGGTGGGTGGGGGTT